AGGAATGCCTGTGTCTGCTTTCACTGTTATTCTCTCCAAAGCTTACCCAACTATAGGTACTCCTATCCCATTTGATAAAATTTTATATAACAGGCAACAGCATTATGACCCAAGAACTGGAATCTTTACCTGTAGGATTCCAGGAATATATTACTTCTCCTACCACGTGCATGTGAAAGGGACCCATGCTTGGGTGGGCCTGTATAAGAACGGCACCCCTGTAATGTACATCTATGATGAGTACATCAAAGGCTACCTAGATCAGGCTTCAGGGAGTGCCATAATCGATCTCACAGAAAACGACCAGGTGTGGCTCCAGCTGCCCAACGCAGAGTCGAATGGGCTATACTCCTCTGAGTATGTCCACTCCTCTTTCTCAGGATTCTTAGTGGCTCCAATGTGAGCATATTCCCACCGAGCTAATATGAATCTGCCTGAAAAGGCGTTCCCCAACTCCACCCCACCCCACAAAATGCATATGGAGGTAGCCTGAAAAAAAGTGACTAATTTTAGTTTTCCAAAATACAGATCTGAGCTTTCAGACATAGTGTACAATATGTGAGAACCCTCTCGAGTTTCTAGTCAGCAATCCTAAGTCTCTTTAAAGTTTTCTGTGAACTCCTTCAGTATTTAAAATTTCTACCATAAAAGTACTGCTAAGCTAAAAAAATAAAATGATCTTAAAAAACCCTGAAATGTGATGCTAAATCATGTTAAATTTGATTTTAGAAATTCAGCATTTCCTTTTAAAATAAGCCTGTTTCTAACGATTAACAGGAGAATTTCTAGGAAACACTCAGGAGGTGTCATGTATATTTATGGGACTTAAATACTTGAATATCCAAATTTAAAAGACATTGTATACCCTAAGATCTTTCTGATGGCGCATTACTCAAAGGCTTACATGGTCCCCTTCATCAATATCTATTCAAGTATACAGGTGCATATAGACTTTCTACAGCTCTCATAAAAAACCCAAAATATTATGTTAAAAATAATCTGAAATGCAAGGTGCTTTAGTCATGAACCTTTTCAAACTTTTCTGTGGTTGCAGGAAAGCTTTCTGTATACCCTTCACAACTTGGGTAGTGAAGGGTATACAGATGATGTCTGTATGAACAGGATAGGTCAAACAAATGATATCTGACCTATTCTATTTACTTGACAGAAGTGTGATTAATTTGCTTTAATTCCTTATTGAGTCTTATGTAACACGATTTTGTGGGTTTACAGAGCATTAGCATATGTACCTTGGGCCTTCCATTCCAGTGAAATTATAATTGATGTGAAGGATTTCAAAATGTGACTAGAAATGAAACGATGTTATTTATTTATGCTCTGTACTGTATTTTTATGTTGCTGTTTAAAACTTTTAAGCTGTGCCTCACGAAATGTTTTATCTACTCCTTATTTACAATGCAATAAAATAACATGAACAGATTATTATGCTGAATTTATCTGACACCAGCAATTCGCTATTCTCAACCGTTTTTGTAAGGCTTTTTATTTTACAAAGTTAATAAAAAGTAAAATGATAAAGTGGCGGGTAGCTTTTATAGGTGCCATGGTTATGCCCTCCTACCGGAGATGGGCATTCCCACACACCCAAGCACTCAGTGTGGACTGTGAAAAGCTATCAAACAACCACATGTGATCTACAAGCCAGGGTGAAGGGCTGGTGGCTGGGATTAGAAAAGTAAGACAATCATCCAAACGCAGTGATGTTCTTCTGGGAAGGAAAGAAGCAGGCAGCAGAGAAATATGTAGTCTGAACAAATATTCTGTAGTTACTATTTATTGCCTTGACATGTTTTTAGTCATAATATTTAGGATTATTTTGATGGCTTACACTACATTAAAAGGAAGGCAAGCAATTTTTATGTCAATCAAAAGGCAACATTTTTCTCAGCTGAAAAACACTGCTCTTGAGCATCCATCGGTCCACTGGCTGAATTAGGGCAGTCTGGTTCAAGTCATCAGGGTAACATACTATAAAGGCATCTCTTAATTCCTTAGAAGCAATCTCTCTGTGTAACCCAAGCAAACCTGTGGATGGAACCGTAAAACCCTAGGCTTGGGTTGGTGATATCTCTGCTCGCATTCTAGGTGAGCCGGTCCTGTTTTTAAGCAATAAGAATAGAATTTTCACTTTCCCTATCTGTCTATAATTACAATACTAATGATTACAAGTGTCACCAACCTTCATTCCCAAGCCAGGAAACAGCAAATTCTGGGGAACCCACAAAGTGACCCTATTGATAAGCATGTAAAAGACTGCATATCTTAGGATACTGGCCATTATGGACACGAATAAAAGAACCTCTTAAAATATAACCAGTATCAACTTTATGGCAATATTTAAAACCAAATTAAATCTTAATTAAGGAACACAGAAAAATAGGTAACTTGTAAGTAATTCATTAGATACACAGCACTGAACAAACATCTAAAGTCTCTCTTCACGTTACTCACCTTTAAAAGCTGACATTTTATAATTATGTTGTATACCAGCAACTATGTCCTTCCAAAAATCAAATGGTTTTTGACCACTGTTCTGCTAAAGAAAAAAGGAAATCCAAATGTGATACATGTAATAATTTTGTTTTTAAGCATAACATAAAACACCTGACAAACAACTATAATATCACTGTATTCTAAAATAGGGATTCATGTTTTAGAAAACATAACAGATAAAAACTTCTCATTTTTCTAAATGTGATTTTAGAAAGAAATCTTCCATGAAAATCACTGATACAGAGAGATATATACATATGACTAAATATTAATATAACTCACATAACCCAAATAAAATAAAAATTTCCACTCATTATAAAATCTAAACATTACAGAATACTTTTAACACATGAGAAAATCTACAATGTTATAGCCTGTGAGGTACCAGAATGTGTAACTTCATGTACCATGGCATCAGTGGAGCTAAGAGACCTGAAGCCTTAAAACCTCATAAGCTGGTTACTGTAGAATTCTGTGCACATTTACTTGAGTTTCAGTATAAAAGAGGAGCAATTCTCTATTATTAAGGAGGTTCCTAACCCAAAATTCAAATCATTTTTACTAAGATTTTTTTTTAAACCAGAAAGCAAGTAAACAATTATACAACGTTATAACCCTGTGCTTCCTTGGAAACATTAACCAGTGTCCTTCTATCTAAACAAAGACCAAATACTAGATATTATTAAATTATATAAAGTCCAATTTAAAGACTGGTGCATTTGTATATAATCACTATAAGATGAGAAACTGACTCCATCTCATAATAACTTCTATAAGCCAGAACTATTGCTCAACAGAAACTTTCACAAACATACAAATTAATTCTGATTCAAAAATAAACCATTATCTAGTCCTATCAGAAACATTAACATTGTGATTTTTAAAGACAATATATGCAAAAAGAAAGTGATTCTGCCATAAAACCAGTTTCTGTTCATAGGTCCTAAACTCTAGGTATAAACTGATATAACCAGAGATCTATTTAATCCTGATACATAGGACAAGGAAAAAGTCTATAAGCATTAAACTATGCCCAGAATGATGAATTTAAAATTTTCACCTCATTTTTCTGGTTTTATACTATTTACAATGCTTAAAAGGACACACGGAATTTCCTTAAATTTCTTTTATTTATTTTTAAAAATTCTGCTAATGAAACCAAGGAATATTCTTTCCATACGCAGGTTTGGTATTTTCTTTTTCTAGACTATCGCACCCCCTGCTGCAGAACAGGTTTATTATTGGTGGGGTCGGGGAGGGAGAAGGGATGGTCGCTATTTAATTTTCCAAAAATATTTTGACCAAATTCTCTATGTTTTTCCTCCTCAGTCACCTCTGAAACCACAAAGAGGAAACTAAGTAAAATCTCAACTCAAAAGACATATAAAATTAAGTCCTCTGATTTATAGCTAAATACATTGCACAGTTTCTAAAAAATGAGTCCCCACTCACCTTCGTTAAAGAGTCCACCACTCTGGCACACAGAAGAGCTCCAGGCAGGTCAAAGTAGTTATCATAAAAATAATATTTTCCTAAAAGAACAAAAATTTAAACTGGGAACAAATTGATGCCTCGTTTATGTAACATACACAGAAACTTGGCTGAAGAGAGACTAGATTTTGGTTTTGCTACTTAAAGGGGCTTTTATTTCAATTCAGAATCACTCCACTACAGCCTATCATCACCTTTTAAAGAAGGCTTCAGTTACAAGGCTACTACAAGAAAGGTAAAAAAGGATATCCATAGTTAAGCACTTTATTAAGAAATATTTATTTTTTTAAATGTGAAAATTAGACCATATCCCAAATATGAAATAGATTATGAAAAAGTCACAATTTAAATTATCAATGTCACTGAATTTCAAAACCATCAACCTAACACTGGAATACCATGAAGTGCCACACAATAGTGCCTTTGCAAATCTGTGCTCTGGTCCCCTAGAGTCCCACATTCAATCTTCATACAATTTCAGACAAACTTCAGTACAATGTTAAGAACAGCCAGGGTGAAGAGAAGAATAAAAAAAATCAGATCACGTGAGGACACAGTGTGCTTATCTTAGAGAAACTCGGAAGCACAGGCCTGGCACACTCTAGGGTCTCTGGGAGGAGAGGGATCTGATTAATCCTGTTTGGCCCTAGGGTAGAATTAAACTTGAGCCCTTCCTTGGCACCGATGTCATTTTTGACTCTGCTGTCCCTGGGCAGACGCTTTTGAGGACCCATGTCACATCCCCTTGGTCCGTGGCTGATCCCAGCCACAGCTGTGCTAAATAGCAGCATCCTACCTCAAGCTCACCTGTGCCATTCCCTTTCTCTGAGAGCCTCTGGAGCCCACATGGCAAGCCTCAGTCAATAGGGTCAGGAGCCAGTGAACAAATGCCCCAGCCTCCTGTCCCCTGGACTGACAACTCTGAGAGGTGTTCTCTGCACTTCTCCTCAGAAGTCCCGGTGGAATCCAGCTCCTGCTGTTCTTTCCTTCCACGTAACACCCTCACAACTATCTCACTCCCGCATACTGCCATCAGGAGCAACCACTCTGCTCTGAGGGGAAACGTAACCTCAGAGTCCTCTAGAGAACCCTCGGTACAAGGAGGAATCCAACAGAACCAATACATGGAGTCAGATTTCAGTTTAATGTTAAGAAAGTACTTTTCAAATGGTCATAATTACTCTTGTGCAGAGTACTGGTAACTGCCTGATTCTGAGTCCCCACTCCTCCCATTTGTAAGCTGTGTATGAGGTTATGCAACACAGCTGCCTTGTTCCTTAGTGTCCACTAAGCACAATGTCCAGCATATTGCAGGAACTCAATAAATGTTTGTTGAATGAATGAATGATCTAAAAATAGAGTGGGGCTTCCCTGGTGGCGCAGTGGTTGAGAGTCCGCCTGCCGATGCAGGGGACACGGGTTCATGCCCCAGTCCGGGAAGATCCCACATGCCGCGGAGTGGCTAGGCCCGTGAGCCATGGCGCTGAGCCTGTGTGTCCAGAGCCTGTGCTCCGCAACGGGAGAGGCCACAACAGTGAGAGGCCAGCGTACCACAAAAAAATAAAAATTAAAAATAAATAAATAAATAAATAAATAGAGTGGATTACTGTCAACCCTTGAGCAACATGGGTTTGAACTGCATGAGTCCACTTATACATGTCCTTTTTTCAATAGTAAATACTATAGCAGTGCATAATCTATGAGCTGCGGTTGGTTGAATCCACAGATGTAGAACCTCAGATGGGGAGGAACCCCAGGTAGGGAGGGCGACCATAAAGTTATACTCAGGTTTTTGACTTCACGAGGGTAAGTGTCCCTAACCCCTGAGTTGTTCAAGAGTCAACTATATTTTGGAATGAAGAAGTGGTACGGGTGAATTAGGAGAAAACTCTCTGCAAGGGCCAAATGTCTATCCCTTTAAATGCTACTTAATGCCCCTCACGTCTTCATGTCAAATTATTAAGGATATATAAGGAATAAAAATCAAAGTTCTGTTAATTCACAAAATGGTTGCATAGGTTTGTATGTCCTTCCCCTCAGTTAAAAATATTTTGGTTAGCATAGTCCTCCTGTTTTTTACTCTTTCACAGCTGAAATTGTTGTGGGAACATCTCAGACTCATTTTCACTCCTAAGAAAGGTTAAGATGTCTTTGTCAGAGTGAGGAAAAGCAGGAATTTGGAGGAAAGGGAGAAGCTATTCCATGTACGCTTCAGCCCACACTGCTATGCTATGAGACCACACAACACTCCAGTGCTGCAGGGACCAGGACAGTGGGCACAGGTTCCCAAGGCTCACTAACCTGCACTGTATCTAACCTCTTGGCCTGTGACACCAGAGTGACCTGCCTGAACCAGCCAGCCAGCTGTCTTGGGCACTGTGGGAGCAGGAGGTGTGTCATCGTTGTACCCTTGCTTTTCCCCTCCCCTTTTTCTCCTTTTGTGGGCATTAATAGATGAAATTCAGTTTATGAGTTGAAATATGGATTATAAGCCTTGGTTGAGGATCTAATCAAATAGCTCAGGGGTTGGATGAGAAGGACTCATTGACTTCCACCCTCAAGGCAAGGGGCTGATGTCACTCGACTATCAAAACTGGGCTAGATGACCACCGCGTGGACATAACAGGGTTTGTGCAGCTGTGACATGTTAACAGTGCCAGGCTGCTCTCGATGTCTCTCCCAACATCAAACTCACAGACTGTGCTCATGAAAGCTTTGGCCCTCCACCTCCTTATAGGGCAGACAGCTCACTGGGAATGAGGTGATTACTGAATTTAGTTCAAGAGAACAAGCCTCTGAATCAAGATCGAGTCCTATAATCATTAAGCTTCACACACAGAAAAACTGTTCCACCAAAACGCACTGCCAACACCTCAGCCTTGCAAACCTGTGTACTCTTAGTGATGATGGAACAAAGGCATATGAATGACTGAGGCGAAGAGAACAATTCATGATAGTGTAAGTTCCCACTTCTCCTGCAGACAAGTGATATCATCTCCATTTAAAGATAAGGAAAGGGATGCTAAGAGTGGCTTAGTAATTGACCACATCACTTCATCCAGCAAGTAACAGAGTTACTATCATCCAGGACTGTCTGGCTCCAAGCACCTTGTGATTTCCACTAGACCAAGCTGTTTCTGCATAATCTACCAGTATGGGAAGAAAAAGATCAAAAGGACTTGCTCTCTGGAAATTGGCTGGTAAAAAAAACCATGCTCATGCCAAGGCAACCACGTGAAAAGTGCTTATCAAATAACTTGTCAATAAAATATCTGTGTCCATCAATCCTTCAAATTCCCTAAGTGTACTGGTAGGGATTTGTACTTTACAACTCTCTACTTAACTCTAAACACGAATATACTCATTGTAGAAAGAAGTAGCCCATAAAGAATCAATTGGAGTTCCTGAAAATAAAGGCCTTATTTGGCAGTATTTTAAACCCACATATCCGTAGAGCAGCTATATTTCTAAAAACTTACCCTGGATATATTTACAAAAGTGCAAAATATACATGTATGAAAACATCACTGCAAGCTTGTTTGTAATGGTTAAACACCGCTCACAACACAAATGTCCAATGCGAGGACACTGATGAAATAAATCATGATGTAGGCCCTGGATGGCAGAGCGTGCCTGCATCGAAAAGAATGAAGGACATCTGTCTTTCTGCTATTGTGACGGAATCTCCAAGATGTAGATGAAAAAAAGCAAAGTACAGAAAAAGTATGATCCTTTTTGTATACTTAAAAAAATAAGCTTCGGGGAAAGGGGATTGTGGGGGACAGGGGTTGGAAATAATTACTCTCCATTTTATTTCTTTCTATAATATTTACATTTCCTGATCATATGCTCCCAGTATTTTTTTTAGTGTAAACAAAGTTTAACTGGAATCACAGGCCATTTTTTCCTTCTTTTATGTCTCTACATTAAAAAAAAAAAAATGTGTTATGTTTCAAAGGCATTAGCTTTCTCTTACTATTTTGCAGAAACAGTAGGCTTCTATTATGTGTCACAGCCCCATCACTGGGCACCTGGAGTGGAAACACTTCCCTAACCAACCCAATTAGGAGTAAATAAACTCCAACACCATCCTCAGAGGAAGCGTTCCTGCGTAAATTAAGCACCACAGAGAAGCTTTGGATTCTAGGAGGCAGTGCTCTCTAGCGGGCAGAGCAGTGGGTAAACAGGCGTGTCGTGTTGGGTGAATGCTTTCTTTTGCAGCTGGGAAATACTTTACTTCTTTAAAATACTCCCGATTTCTGAATGGATGTCAGAATAAAACACTTAGCTGGGTGCCTACCTTTTCTGGGAGAAGGGAAGAGTTTATAGTTAACCCATGAACAATGGGGGGAGGGGAGGTTCGTGGCTCTGACCTCCAACGCAGTCCAAAATCTGAGTATAATTTATAGTTAGCCCTCCTTACCCGCAATTCCACACCCACGGATTCAATGAACTGTGGATAGTGTAGCACTGCAGTATTTACTATGGAAAAAAAATCTGCGTATAAGTGGATCTGAGCAATTCAAACCCGTGTTGTTCACGTGTATTTACAACTGCCTACATCTGGACAGACAACAGGTGTTCCCTATCACCTGAGTAAAGGAAATCCATCCATTTAACTTCCTAGCTATTCTGAGTTGAGATATGTGAAAGCATTCTATACCTAACCCCAAGGTGAAACCTCCGCTTTTCCTATCAACTTATTTTATCAAGATAACACACATTTCCTGACATTTTCATCTCACTACAATAAAAAAAAAACACCCAAAAGATAGCAAATGTAACAAACAAAAACACAACAGTAATAAGGAATAACTCCAACTGTTTTCCGGTTACTACATTTTCTAAATGAAAATAGGTGCATTTCAAAACTGTAGTGTAGGAGAAAATGGCAAAAAAAAATTAGAACAAATGAAAAACTAACAATCAGGACTTTTAATAAGGTCCATCTGTTTATAATAATGTTTTAATGATTCTTTACTAATTTATGCACATCTGTGTTTATAAATAATTTTTGGAAAATCTTTTCATGTTTACTGATGGTGAAACTCTTTAAAGAGAGTTGGAAAAATGAGTAAAATCACTTGAAATAAAGGGGAAAAAACAAAGGCAGAAGGTACTAGAAATGGCAGTAAAGAAAATAATTCTAGAAAACAGGAGAGATGAGTAATGTGGGGAGAAGTGGGGGACAGAGAAACAAAAGTAAGGATTGTGCATGTAACAAATTGATAAAAATACAGAATAAGGAATGTATTATTCCTTGTTCTTTACTCCAGAACAAGTGCAAGTAGAAAGGTGAATCAACAGAACGTTAAATAAAACAGAACCAACTGCCAAAGAGAAAATCAGACACGTGGGAAAAAATACATCCTATTCCTATGAAACCATAGCAGGTCCTTTGTGGGTCCTGCCCAGCAGGGTGCAAGGAGGGTCTTCTTTGTGTCCTGATGTCCCAGGCTCAGGGACCAAAACAACAGGGGAGGGAATGGCAGTGCTGCCCCACATATGACCCATACCTGACCGGCAGGCCATTCCCGAGTCTGGCGTGAAGTGCTTCCACTCCTTCCTGCCGTACTCCTCCGCCAGCACCTCTGGAGCCAGCATCTTTGTGCCGTGGCTTGCCCTGGTTTGGGGAGATGAGGCACGTGACTCATCAGTGGTTCTCCTGAACACCCCCTCCTCCAGCCTTGTTATTGTTAATTCACCCTGATACTGTGAAAGGATTTTTACAAAAAAGGTTTTCAACTGGATGACTTCCCCATTTAGGATCCTATACGGCATTTCTCTTGACAGCTCTTATTCTTCTCCATGTCACCCATCAACCAGCAAAGTGATCAGGGGCAGCTCACTCTGAGGTCAACGCTGTGGTAGTTGCCCTGGACCAATACTATAAACCACAATTTCTCTGGGAGAAATATGACGACTTCTTGCCTAAGAAGCTGTCAATTAACTACGCAGATAAGCCTAACTGGAACAATGAGGAAACAACTGCAGGGACTGGGTGGGAAGCTGGGCTGGCAGCAGGAAAGAAAGAACAGCAGTCAGAGCATGAGCTGCGTCAGGCCCGCAGGAGCAGGGAGGTGCCTGGCACCCCGGGCTGGCGGCTGTGAGCACAGGGGACTTATGAAGATGAAGATGGGGTAGTAACATGCCACTCAAGGACACCACATAGCTAAAAACACAATGGGAAACAGCAAGACGAATGTGGCAAAACTTGGAACAGGAAGACCAGAAGGTAGCTATTTTTTGTACTCGAAATACTGCTTTTGCATCCGTTGAGCCTGGTTAAGAGAATCTTACCCTGTAGAGAAACAGTTGATATTTTAAGTTGTTTACTTTGAGAAATTATAATGCTAGGGAGTATTATTAGTCTTCTCCTGGTGTTATACTGTGGTAGCAAAGCAAAATGAAGGAAAAGGAAATGAAATAAATGGGCAAATGGAGGAAAATCATAATCGGGATCCTATTTATAAACAGATTAATATTTACATAAAAGCTATTATGTAAGGGTGGAGGAATCTTGAGCAAGAAATACGATCAGAAAAGGAATCTACTATATTGTTTGAAAGCAGGCGTCAAGGACATAACCTTGTAAATTCAAGAGAAGCTGCAGGTTGGCCAGAACTTGAATGGAGACGGTCAGACCTTGGGAAAAGGGTGTTGGGAGTGGGGACCAACAGACAGACGTGACAATAAAAGAAAGAAGCGAAACTGTGCAATGTTTTCTATTCTTTTAACCGTGATTGAAGACAGCCAAGTACACTGTAAGAATCTGAAAGTGGCATTTAAGGTCATGGTCAAAGCTGCATTGTGTGTGTGTGGTGTACACACACAAATCAATACACACACTCTATCTCTAGTTGCCTGAGAAAAAACATGCAGATGAATTATAAAATAATCAGAAGTGGAACCACACCTGGCCTAGCTAGCTACACCTAGGGGACAGTCTGGGGTAGAATGTGAGTCTGTACTGTGCAAAAAGAATGATGTACCCAAAGGGAGAGCGTGTATAAGGGGTAACCTGTGCTGAGCATCCTCTTCGTGAACTCTGACCATGTCAGCATAAATCATAAATTGTACAACTGCACGGCCACGTTAACTGCCTGTACTGTCAGTACTGGGGGGAAAATAGATGCTCGCTCCATGGTACCCTCTGTAAGACTAAGAGCAGCCATGGCAGCTGCTTCTCAACTGCCTGCCCTACTCTTACTCATACTCAAAAGTGTTGGACTCACCCTAGGAGGAGGGAAGGAAAGGGAGTCAGCACTAAGTTTGGGAGGGGGGAGATACTTATGAAGGTTGGAACAATCTAGAAACACTTCCAGAAGGAGCTGAGACACAACATGGGTCCTGCATGATGGGGACGAATTTGGATGAATGGGGGGAGAAAGAGCCGTGTGCCTAGACCACCAATCCCCACCCAACATCCATTCTCTCCTTCTTCCTTAATAAAGACAGCTTCAATGTTACTCCAGGTTATAGCACAATATAATTCCAAGCCTCTGTGGTCAAAGAGATAAAGCAATTTATTAACATTCTACTGTATTTCCTGAAAATATTTCTGATGAGCTAACTTTAAAAGAATTAGACCTTTCAGTCTAATGCTTCCAGATTTATATTTAAATGGCTCAAACGATTCACACAAAGACATGCAGGCACATAGATAATCTGCCATCTGATTGACTAAAGTAATAATCTTCTTTAACCCATACCTTAACTATCAAATGCTATATGGTAATAAAATGTCCTGGAAAGAGTAAAGTTTTGACTTCATAACTAAATTTTATTACCTGAGCACGGTGCCATTATCTGCAAGTTTAATGAAGTTCCCGTCTTCCAGATCCAATGCCAAGCCCTTGCAACTGAAACCGAAAATTCTGATTACCAGTCAATTCACATAGTTACCTAACCCAAGAAATAAAAATTTATATTTTCAAAAAAGTCACAATGCTAAAAAAGGACTCTCCCCCACCCAAGTGAATGATATGTTAATCAAACAAGTAAGAATATCAATTCTAAAATTAAATATCTAAAATTAAATATCATAAGGAAAAACTGTTACGTGGGCAAACCAAGGACAGCATATTCAGTGTCTAAAATCTTTGAGCTTTTAAAAAGAGGAATAAAAAAACTCACAGAGAACAAAGAATGAACACCATTGTACGCCTCTGTTAAAATGTACAAATGCTTTCCATTAAATAAAACACAAACACACATTTGTATTCTATAAGTTAAGATCTTGGCCAGAATCTTTTCTGTACTCTTTAGAATCTGCCTCAATTTAGGTCGGGCTATAAGAACTATGCATACTATTGAAAACCACTAAAACAAAGTCAAATACTAAGTTTTGGGTTCTTCACTGTAAAAGACTTATGGGATTTGGGAAGTGAAATGGGTACAGATTCATTATCATGAGTAATAAAAGCAAGAAGGTAAAACGGCCACCAAATACCAAGAGAATTAAAAAGAAAACGACAGGGTACTTTAGAAGCATTATTTACTCTGGTCCACAGTAAAATTGCCAGAGTCAGCGGTTTCATACTGTAAAATATTTCTGTTTCTTCATTTGCTAAAAGGGATAAATCAAAAAGGACTAACCAAACACTGGAAGAATGTATAACAGATGAACTCTGTTGTTCTAGAATTATTTCTGTATGTATTTTTCATGTGTTTCAGGACTACTGTTATTTTTCAGCCGAACAATTTAAAGTGGTTTAATAGGACTTTTGTTTGTTTTATTGTTTAAATGAGGAAGGACAAAGGAAGCCTTGGAAAGTTGAGACTCCTAAGCCAGGAAGGGAGTAAGCAGTCAGAGTCTCAGACATAGGGGTATCTACCCAATTACAGAAAAACAAATGTCCCAATTTAGACACTTATTCAAAACATGATGATTTCCTCTTTTCTTACAGTTCTGTATTTGAAGGGCAATAAAAGAAAATTTTTTAATAAAAGATGTAAATTTTAGACAGTTCTTAATAATCTCTCAAATTGTTAATAACGACAGACTTAAACCGTGTAAAAATACTCAAATTAGTCACATATGCTCTTAGCTTATTTTCATACTTAATTAAACAAGTCTTAAAGTAGAAAGGACTTTAATTCATCAAACGTAAAACTTTTTAGTACAGAAGGCATTTTGTCCTTTGACTCAACTTCACATTTCACTTTCTGTTCCCATAGAAGAGGAAGCATTAAAATTTTATCCACAATAATTAAAAATCAGAAGGAATGTGCTGACCTTAAAGAAGCTGCTTACCAGAAATCCCAATCCTCTGGAGTCACAGTGAGCAATTCCTTGTCATACCCTTTCTCCTTGACCAGGAACTGAGCAAAGCTATTATAAATGAGCTGTTAATAAAAAGAAGGAAAAAAGACAGATTAAATGTAAAATTCACTATTCATTCTTAGCTTCACAGACCTGAAAACCTAATGGAATCAGTCATGAGACAGGTGGGAGGGAATCTGTAGTATCTGTAATTGTGAAGCTCTGCAGGTTAACACTCCGTCCCAAGCAATTTACCCACTCCTGAGAGCCCCAGGTAGCTGCTGTGTCTTTTTTATTCCATCAGTATAAAATTATACCACCAAGGACAATTATTAATCTTACTCCCAAAGCCTAACGGGTTGGAGATCATTAAGACTTGACAAAGCTTTGTAAACTGATTTAACAGATCTCCAGAGGTTAAACATAATGACCACTCTATCATCACAACCATCCTCCATCCACCCTTGCTAGAAAGGCCCCATGGCGGCTGATAATGCTAATTCATATACTGGGCCCCACAAAATGGAGGCCACCCCACTGGCCCAGCTCTGGTCACAAATCTAAACCTAAGGCAGTGTGCGCTTACACAAAACCCCTGTCAAGGAGACCTAACATACACCAATCACAATCCTCCACATCAGCTTTAGCTCGCTTACCTCACCCTAGAAAACAGGACCTGCAGTGCCTATCACGGAATCCCCGACCTCCTAGCCAACCATGCCCTATTTCTGTGGTGCCTCTTGTAACACTCTATAAGACACGGTCTTGCCCAAAATCTCTGGGGGAGAGTACTCCACTGCTGGTGGGGCACTGCACTCTCCCAGTCTGTGGATTATCTTCTCCAAAGGAAGGGCATCAAACTCATTACTTACTACCTTATTTTAGTTTTGTCATCTGACACAGGGGAGTCTCAGAGAGAAATACACATAGGGGCCAGGCAGGTAATCTAAAGAAGGAACCATGGTGCCTCCATCAGACAAAGTGAATATTTTCTTTTCCCACCATAGGAAAAGCTAAGGAAACAGGAAAAAGGAAGCCTCTGGAAGCAAGCACAAAGATAAATGCTCTGCTGATGGCTGACAGATCTTTTCATTCTCAACAACAACAAAATGACAGGTTTTCTGAGACTGAAGAGTATCCAAGGAGACACACTGAGCAACCTGACCCTCCTTCTCAAGATGTTAACCCATGACAGGTTTTGATAGCATTGGAATGGCACAAGGGGCAAGCGAGAATACAGGAAGGGTTGTAGGAGGGCTTCCCTGGTGGCGCAGTGGTTGAGAGTCCGCCTGCCAGTGCAGGGGACACGGGTTCGTGCCCCGGTCCGGGAAGATCCCACATGCCATGGAGCGCCTGGCCCCGTGAGCCATGGCCGCTGAGCCTGCGCGTCCGGAGCCTGTGCTCCGCAACGGGAGAGGCCACAACAGTGAGAGGCCCGTGTACCGCAAAGAAAAGAAAAAATAAGTTGGAGGAGAAGGCCTCCCTGAGGAGGTGATGTACACACTGACACCTGCAAGATGGAGCAGTTAGCTGGGTGAATCCAGCAGGGAGAGGGCAATCCAAGTCCAGGGGGGCACACAGCTGAAGGTGGGGATTGGGGTTACGAGTGTTAGGAGATAAGTGTGGAGAAAGCAAAGGCTCCTTGTCAAACAGAGCTGTTCTCTGTCGTAAAGTTAATGAAAATGGCTATACATGTACCCCCATACAATGCAACGTGACCCTGATCCAGGTCAGCTGTCCACAGAGCTACAGTAAGTCAACACTATGTATCCACAGTTCTCAAGCCTGGCGGTAGTCAGAACCACAGATGATGGTTCTTAAAGCCACCCAGAAATTCCAAGCCTACAGGATAGGGTCGGGCCCCGACAAAATTCCTGAAACCCCAAGATGACTGAAAATCATTGACTTCTACATTATATGAATTTTCATTCAAACATAAAATGTACTGAGTCACTCAGGTACAAAGTACTATGGACAACAAAAAATACACATCATGATCCTGCCTGCAAGGAACCAGTGCCCTGGGATTAAGAGATGTAAATCCCATGTTAATGAAAATCCTCAGATGCTTAGAGCAGTGCATGGCATACAAGTAAATTCAATTTAAGTATTGCTATTATTATCAGTCGGGCGCTGGTTAAAAAAAAAAAAAAAAGGTCCTGACTTGTAGCATTTGCTCATTTCCATGGTACAGTTACCCCCACCATGGCCAGTTTCAAGCTACCAATGGTTACTGCACACCATCAGACTTGCCTCTGGTCAAAGTATTTATTCAACCTTGGACAACTGGAGTGTCTCATCCCTTGGCAATACTGATTAACATATGGGCATGTGATTCCAATGAGGTCAGATTCCTTCCCAAGAGAAAGGGCCCTTTCTAGCAGGGATGGCACCAGGGGCGTCCAGAGCTGTGTTCCTTACCTCTCCAAGGAGATGGTTCTGTAATAGGAGAGAATGGGGTCAATGTGTAAAGAGGAGCAGAGAACAGAGGTGCTGAGAAAAGCAGGGAATCTGTGCCTTTGAAAGCCCTCTTCTTGGGGCTTCCCTGGTGGCACAGTGGCTGAGAGTCCGCCTGCCGATGCAGGAGACACGGGTTTGTGCCCCAGTCCGGGAAGATCCCACATGCCACG